GAAATTTATACTCACTTTCTGTAATTTATGTAATCGATTGGAGTATTGATTAATTCATTATAAAATTATAATTTAATAAATAAATATCATTGAAATTTATACTTACATCCTGTAATCGATTGGAGTATTGATTAATTCATTATAAAATTATAATTTAATAATAAATAAATATCATTGAAACTCATAATCACCAGCTATAACAGATCAAAAGTATTAATTATAATTTATTAAAAAAATTTTGATCACAGTAATGTCGAAATTATACTCACATCCTGTAATTTAATTAGGATGTTAATTTAATAAATATAAATTTTTGATTTCTTAAGTAATATTTGAAATTTATACTCACGACCTAATAGTTATATAATTGAATATTTATTAATTATAAAGAATCCTTCGGTTTAATAAGCTGAAAACTTATACTCACTCTCTAACAATTATGAACGTAGTTGATTAGTATGTTGTTTCATTTATTATGAATATAAATTTTATCGGAATTTATACCCACTTCCTAAATTTATTAATAAAAGGAATGTTACGTAATTAAGAAAAATGGAACGAAGTTTTTTGATATTTGAATACATACTAATGATAAAAATGCTTTTATTCTGTAACTCAATATCTCTTCTATTTGTTGTCGCCCATCGATAACTTTCTTTGGTACTTTATATAAATATAATTGTGTTGCATGTTTCATAATGGACTCAAATTGACTATTTGAAGAAGTTAATTTTTTCAAATCGTTGGTTCCTAAATTACGAAAACAATGTGTATATATGGTTACAATTCTAATACTCAAAGAATTAGAAATCACATTATTTTTCAAAATTTACCTTTAAAATCCAAAAATCTAGATATGCATTCTAAATATATATATATTAATAATTAATAAATAATAATTATCGAATCAAATAATCTAAAATACTTTTTAGAATTTTATTGAGGCTAGCACTAGTCTTCTCCTTTTCTGAGGTTTTATCAAATAAAAACTCACCTCCTAAAATATGTAGAAGTATTAATTAATCATAACAATTATGAATCGATATCAAGTTATTTACGTTGCATTACCAAAATAATTTTTAACTTCTTTAAGAAGATCGTCTTCATTTTTGTCACAATTATTAGCAATAATCATAATAGGAATTTTACTATATTCACACGATAGTTCTTTTATTTCCTTTAATCCGTCATATTGAGAAATATCGTAAACAAGTATAGCACCATCAATATAACTATAATAACTATAATATTTACATGATAAATAAAGTTCCATTATCTGAAAAAAGAATAAATTCCAATTAGGGTTTAATAACTCACTTTTCATTTGGTCTGAGATTCCATCCTACAAAATGACAGAAAAAAGATTAATATCATAAATAGAATACAGTTGTGCTCAGCTTACTACTAATTGGATCTTATCATGATCAACCATGTCCAGATTAAACTAATAATTCATTTGCCATAAAATTGCAAATGTCGAACTTTGAATAACGATTAGTAACGGTAAAACTCAATTAATAGTAAATACTAATTATAAGGATAATTGTTAATACTGGTTTCCAAAAATTCTACTTTAATATCGTAATCATCTAACCGAATGTGTTTGGTTGTGGTTGTGACATACGCATGAAAGGTGTTTTTATATTTTCCATTCTCAAAATCATCATCTGCAAATTTCTTGATAAGACAAGATTTGCCAACACCACGTTTACCGTCCACACCAACTGAAAATAAAAATATGTTAATACAGTTCCTTTAAGTTTCAACACAACAAAATACCAATGTATCATACTTCTTAAAAAAAAATCATAATCCTTATTCATCTTGGAACGATAACCTGTTACTTAATTCTGAAGAACGTATTACGTATAATAAGGTTCTAAGGACTGACTTATATCGAACATGTACATACGTACGGTGCAGAAAATCTAAAAACCTTAATCACTTTATATAGAATGAAGATCAACAAACTCATTAAAGATATGCTAAATTTGTCATTCTCTGTACAGTTTCAGCACAATGCATACATAGAATAATATATACATAAATGATATTATTCTTGGAGTCACAAAAATGATAATTTAAGAAATTTATCTTCAATGTACTACTAGTTTAATGCATTATTCCAATATGGAGATTGAGGTTTTTAAATTCCTTGTCTAACATCGTTCAAGTGATAGCTTTAACTTATATGACAAAGCATCATTTGTGTACTTTCGTTCACATCGGTAAAAGTACATAATTTGCTTAACTTTCAGATAAGATTTTAAGAATGTGACATGTAATGTACCATGGTTATAATAGCAATAAACAAATTCAAAGGAAACATGACTACCGAAATAATATCTTAATAATCAATTCTCAACTAAAGCATCACGTAAAACAGAGGTATGTTATAATAAATATATATATACGCAAAATAGCAGGCATTTTGCTTAATTCGTGGAATTGATGATTCCATTCTTTTATTCATTAATTTATTAACATTTAAACTCTAAATATTATGTATACCAGAACTTGTTACTAGAATTACAAGAGCTTTAATTATAGTCACTACTATAACACTGTAATCTAAAAGGGATAATTCAACACAATTTGAATTAACCTATTTTTGCCTATAAATATTTGTGTCAATATTGGTGCAGATGCTAAAAT